TCCGTTCCGCTGTCGATCACAGCGCTGTTACCTCCAGCGACATATAGAGAGCTTAACTGGCAATCTTGGTGTACTCAGTAACGATGGCTTTATTAAAAAATGATTAAATCAACAGGACTTGGTCAAACTTGAATCTTTATCAAGGGTAAGAGGTGATGTGGGGTGGCAGGGATGGGATGGGCCGGGCCACCCTCACCTGAACCATTCTATGTGGGCAGGTGTAAGGGTTTGGTACCGCAGGGATTGCCAGCACTGGGACTCCCAGGATGTGGAGTTCAGGGAAAAACAGGTGGGATGTGCATTGTGGTGCCTTCTTCCAGCACCAGGCACCTCCTGTTGGGCTGGTGCAGCCTGGAGAGTGTAGGGATGGCCACAGAATCACAGTACTGGTAATTCAAATCCCATCACAAACACTGATTGCCACCAGCTCTTTGTATTTTCATTGTGGTTAAAATACAAATCAAATAAAGCCCAGAGCTTTTATTGTGTTGCAAACCAGTAACTGTTTTGGGGTGTTTTTTGTTCTACTTCAAGTGACAAATGCACGGCTTTGGATGATTTTTGTTATTATGGGTTTTTGCATACAGTGATGAAATAGCAGGCAGTCAATGAGTTTAAACGACTCAGGTGGTTTGTGAATGTATTTTTTAAAATCTCAGAATAATTTGAAACAAAAATCACAGAAGCCATTATTATCACAATCTTGTCTATGGCATGTGTGTATGGAGATAACACAGAGCAGATGCTTTTCTGGTGCCAACCACAATAAAACACAAAACTTCACCATTAAGCCATGCCTTTTATGTTTGGGTAAATAGACCTGGGGTGTTGGAGGACATGGAGGTAAAGGGGATTTTCAGGGCTCCCAGTCACAATGTTCTTTGTCTGGAGACTCTTGGGAAGGTGCTTTTGGAACAGGATGAGTGCAGGGAGGTGGGACACATCCCTTGTGATGCTGCCCAGCAGTGAGCAGTGGCCAAGGGATGTCTTGATGAGCCATCACCACCTGAAAACTCCTCTTCTACAAAATCAATCCATGATTATTATGAAGACATTTCCCCTCCAGATGTTAATAGCTTTGATTTGCTTGTCTTTTGCTGTAAGTAAAATGTGCTTATGGTTGATTAATGCTCTCAGAAACTACTTATTATTAGTGTTTAAAGAAATAAAGCCTGCAGCTCATTTTAAAACCCTGTTTCTGGGACTTTGTGCCCAGGAAAGGAAATTTTTTTCAGCTGTGCAGTGCCACAGGAGGAAAAAGCAGTAATGTCTATGCATGCAGGGGTCACATGAGCCTGTTGCAGATTCAATTATTTACAGAGTTGCTATGAAATATTCTATAACTTCAGGAGTGACTCATGGTAAATGGAAGAAAAGCCCTGAGAGCTGGCAAGAGGCCATGCAAGGGCCATCGTTAGCCCCACCACCCTGGGGAGATGCTGGGTACCACTGCCAGGTGAAGGATGCTCAGAGGCTGTGGCAGCTACTTGTGGGAACTGAACCTTTTCAAACCTGTTTCAGAATTATTATCAAATGGCCTTGTTCTTGTTCTGAGATGGTTTGGGGGTTGACACTACATATTTTGGGACAGAACAGGGGTGCTCAAGGTGGCCCTGGCCCCAAGCCCAGAGCTGGACTAGTTGCTGGAAATGGTTGTGCTGCAGTTCATTGTCTCGATGTGAGCCCACCTGAGGTCTTTTCCTGCTCGTGCAACAATTCGATGCTCTGTAACTGGGGCCAGTATGAGCGTGGTGTAGACCAGCAGAGACTGAACCTGCTGTTCCCAAAGTGTGGGGTGGAGCTGCACATCACACCCTGCCTGTGTCTGGGCTAAGCCACCCAGCTGGGCACGGCTCTGAGGAGATCCAGCAGAGATTCCTCAGCAGTAAGGATGCATTTCCTGGCACAGGACGCCTGTCACAGCTGCTGCCACCCTGCAGCATCTGTGTCCTGCCCTCTGCTGCAGTCAGAACCTGCAGCTGGAGAGGTTTGCTGGGTTTGCTTCCCCGTTTTTCTCTTCTGGGAGATGCTGCACCACCCAGAGCAGGGGTTGGGAAAAGAGGCTCATTAACCTCCGGTATCTTTGCAGCAGTGCTGTAAATGAGCCAAATTCTCTCTCCTAAAAGTGTTTCATCAGCCTGAGCTGCTGTCTCACATGTGGCCCCAGCACTGCTGCCTGCCCCAGCTGATGTGCTTAGAGAGGAGAAATGAATAAACATAGTTTGGTTTTGTGCCAGCCACTGCTACATCAGCCTGCTCTTAGACAGCCAGAGTCTTGCAGACCAGATCTACCTTTTGTTCTTTGGTTTGGTTTATGGCATACTTTTCCTCTTTTTTTTTAACATCAAAGCTGTCTCTGAATGACCCAAAGGCAGTAAAATGGATGTGCAAATTGCCCCAGCACCTGGGAATGCCTCACAGCCCCTCTGGAATCTTTGAATTCCTTCCACTGAGGTGACAAGCATGTTCAGCTGTTCAAAAGCAGAGCCCCACCATAAACTTCAGCCCATTGCTTTTATCACACATAGTTAGCAACAACACCAATTACACTACACACAACATAGAGTAGGTAATAAGCATGGCAATTCTGCCTAACATTATGCACAGTTCTTGCACTTTATTATTTAAATAAAGCATTAGCAATAATGCAGACCCTGTTGTTTGCCAATCACCTAAACAGTGCCTGGCCAGGCTCACCAGCTGTGGGATGGGTCAGTGTTGCTGTGCTGTGTCACTCTCTGCACCCTCTGGACTGAGATCACAACTGGCTGTCAGATGTGCAAGAGATTTCATGGGTTGGTCATTCATCCTGGTGGAGCCTGGTTCTCTGTTCTGTAGGAACACGGTGCTGCTCTCTACCGAGCTAAAAATCAGCCCCTTTGGGAAGCAATTGCAGTGAGAGGAAGATTTACACACCAACCCATCCATGAGCCTAGGGCCTCTGCTAATCACCACATGCACATCCAGCCCCCTGTTCAGACAATCACAGGGTCTGGAGTCTCTTAGTGCTACTGAGAGTTCAGTTTGTGCTTAAATTGCCTGAGGCCAAGCTGTGGAGGCTGTGTCACAGCCCAGCTGGCACCAGCCAGGGGCTCAAAGGCAGAGGTGAGGCAGCCCTGGCACTGGGTTGCATCATCTTGCCTGCCAGGGAGGGATGGGAAAACCCCGGGATAACTCCGTGCCTTTTGCTAGCAGACCTGGCCAAGGGATACGTGTGGCTGTGGGGCATTTGGCAGCCTTTGGCATCCAGAGTTTCCATGGAAGTCGAAGGGCTGCTCCTGGGGAGGTGAGTGATGTTCACCCATGCCTCCCAGCGCTGCTCCAGCTGCTCCACACCCAGTCCTCGGGAAGCTGGATTACAGGAAGGCTTGGCAGCTCTGCTCTGAGCAGCAGGACATGGAAAGGTCACCCTGCCTGTGGTATGTTGGTGGTCTTTGATCCCTCTGGATCCAGAAGTTTGGGAAGAGGAGGGAGAGAAAGCATCATCCTCTGTGCCAGGCACCTGCAACAGGATGGGGATCCTAGAGGGGTACATGGGAATCCTGGAGGGGAACATCTGTCCTGGCAAGGATTTCACAGTGCCTGAAGGTTTCAGTCTTGGGTCAGGGTTCCCATTTATTTTTTGATTCAAGCCTTAGCAGCCTGGTAATTGTCAAATCCTGCCAGTCCCATTGTGAAGGTATTTAACTGCAATGCAAAGAAACTGCTTGTAAATGCCTGGGTATCCACACACAGCGAGCAAACAAACACCATTGGCAAAGATCTCAGCAGGAAAGACAAATATTGGGGAAAACTAAAAAGCTCAGCCTTGGGGCCCTTCCTGTCACAGCTACACCAGCCCAAGAGGGGAATGCAGGTGCTGTGGCTGGAATCAAAGCCTGCTTAATGCAATGAACTTTCCTCCTCCAGTTAAAGTTTTACCTTACTGGAGACCAGTGCAAAGATTAGTGGTCTTACACTCATCTTTGTTGTTTTTTCTCTTGCTCTTCCTCTGTAGAAAGTACATTTTGTGCCCATGTGAAGCCTGGCTGACTGAGAGCATCATCCAATGAGTGCTGTAAGTTGGCTGCCGGACCCATCAGGGGCTGATCTGGAAGATAATGACTTTAATCAGCATTAATCACCTTCCCGGCTGACTCAGACTTTGGCACGGTCTGTTGCTGCTAAGGATGCCACCGTCCCCCTGGCCCTGCAGCTCCTCTCTCTCACCATGTCAAGGACAGCAAAGCCCAAGCCAGAGTAAGACCAGCTCAGACCAGCTTGTGCAGATGTGCAAAGTCCATTAAAGTCGAGTGAGCCAAGGCAAAAATATTTGGCAGCATCAGTAATATTTGGCAGCATTGGCAGTATTTCCCAGAATCCACAATATTTGACAGCAGAGCCATCAGCTGATGGTGCTGAAAGGCTCACTGTTCACACCACTGTAGGATTTTTAATGAAAGCATCTTTTACTGTAATATTCTGGGTAATTTTGTTATGTTTTATGTCCATATACACACACAGCTGCCTCCTCTGATAGGTGTGTACTGGCATTAGAGCTGCCTGCCGAGGGGGCTCTGTGTCTGCAGGTGTCTGTGTATGGATACACAGAGAGACCTGTGTACATCTGTGTTTATATGTGGCTCTGTATGTGATATATACACACAATATATTTTAAAGCAGTTGCTAAGTGCTATTTAAATAAAACATTTAGTCATTTTCTAGCTGCTTTGCTACATGTGCTGGAAAGGTTTCTTCTCCCTGATTCAGCAAGAGGATTGTGGTGTGACATGCACATCCAGCACAGAAGCCGAGGAAGGTGTTGAGCATCTCGGAACAGGCTCAAGCCCCCAGCATGTCACATTTCCAACTGGTCAGCTGAGGGACAGCCCCAAACCAGGCCTGCAGCAGGATCATTTGAATTTTCCAGATCCACTCTATGTCTTTGCAGGTCTCCCATTGTTTTGTGTGTGTCCCAAACACAGGGATTGGTGGTGGCTGCTTTGAGCTGAGCGGTCGCCAAATAATGCGTGGAAGACTTGGGTTTCTCATTAACTCCAGAGCTGATATAGTCCCATCTCTCCAAGCACCAGCCCGTTTTCCTGCCTCCATCCCAGCTCTGCTGTCCTTTCTTCCCTGCCCAAGCCCTCACCTTGCTCTGCAGCCCAGGACAGTGACTGTTCCCAGAAGGAGAGTGGAGGAGCTGCGGGATGGATGAGAAAAGGAGAATGCAGACTGAGAAGGTAATCATGGCTCACCGCTATTTTTGCACTAGACTTTCTAGTGAAATGACTAGAATTTCTGCAGGACCCCAGCACTGAGTAATCCTTTCCAAAACCAAAGCAAACCAAAACAAAAAATTCCCTCCACTAATTAATTGTGCACAGGAACAAAGTGGAAAAAGGCCAAGGGGCTATTTATTATTTTTAAGAGGTCTGTTGGCTCATTGGATAACTTCAGGTATGATGGGAGGAAAAGATGCATTAAACAACGCTGCTGAAAAACACTCTTTTGGTGTTTTTTTCCCAGCTGTTGTGCTTCAGGGATGGGGATGGGGAGCAACACACTGCTGCTGTTGCTGCTTCTTGCACTGCTGTACTGGGTAGAGCTTTGGCTCCGGTGAGCTCCAGGGCCAGGATGGGCAGTGCAGCAGGGAAAGCTGGACTGTGATTGTGGGGCAACACCACTCTGCCCTGGGGGCCTGATCTTACCTATCCCCAGGGGCCTTCCTTCTCCTCTGGAGCCAACCACCTGTGCTGGCATCCCCAGATGCCACTGTCCCAGCCAGCTGGGCAGCAGGGTCCCCTGGGATAGGGGTGGGATGCAGCTCTCTCCCAGTTTTGGGTACTGCTTGATGATGAGGTTGTTTTTTGCTTCCTGCCCCAGCACCTCACAGGAACACTGATCCTCTCAGTCTTCACTGCGGTGTTGGGCTTCTTCCAGTATGGCTACAGCCTGGGGGTCATTAATGCCCCCCAGAAGGTAAGTTGAGCCCCTCAAGCTGTGCATGGCCAAGGAACTACAGCTTCAGGGCAGCCAGGGCCAGTTTGTCCCTTGCAGAAGCCCTCAGGAGGGCTCTGTTCCTTCACAGGCAGTTTCTCCCCCTCTCACCATGTCAAGGTGAAGAGAACAAAGCCCCCAAGACAGGGCAGTGGGGTGAGAACACGGCCAGGACCCTCTGCTGGCACTTCCCCAGGGAAAGGAGTGGGGCTCTGCATGTAATGGAGCTGTCCCCACTGTAACACAGTCCCTGTGCCTGAGCCAAGGGACTGCACCCCTTCACCAAATCCAGTGCCAAATCCAGACACCATGCTCAGCCCAGTCCCAGGAGAGGGAATGCTTTGTACCTGCCCTCATGGCCCCTCCCCACTGGGGTCTGGGTTGTGGAGCTGGGGGGACCGCAAGATTCACCCCTGCAGAGCCTGCAATGCAAATCCTTTCCTGAATCCGGCAGAATAAAATCCAAAACAGGGGTTGGGCTGGTTATAGATCTGAGCTGACAGCGTTTTTCTTCTTTGCCTGTCACAGGTGATAGAAGCGCACTACGGGCGCGTGCTGGGCATTGTCCCCCCGGACAGATACGCCACCAATGCCTCCGGGCAGGATGGCACACTCCTCCAGGCTGGCACAGAGGGCACACTCCCACCCCTGGCTGACATCAGCAAGGACCTCGCTGCCTCCTCACACATCCTCACCATGTACTGGTCCCTGTCCGTGTCGGTGTTCGCCATCGGTGGCATGGTCTCCTCCTTCACCGTGGGCTGGATCGGCGACCGGCTCGGCAGGTGAGAGGCTCGTGCTGCTGTGACTGTGCCACAGCCAAAACCCTCCTGACTGATTTCCCACAGAACCATCTCCTTCCTGTAGAAATATAATTTATGTTATTTTCAGCAATTTAGGAAAAAAAGGAAAAATAATCCTCCTGACTTCCAAAATACTGTTTCAACCATCACAGAGGTCGGGCTTTTTAAAATCCTCAGTTACAAATCAGACGTTTTATTGCAACTTGAGCATTTCAGACAGCAGCTGATGAGCAGCCTTGATTAAGTTCTGAATTCCTTCTTTTCTGTCCATGGCAAAAGGAAGAGGAGGACATCTGCATGGTATTTGCACAGGATGTGAAGTATAATTTATAATATCATTTTAACTACTCTGATAGTACCCTGGCCCCTGTATTTTGCTATCATTTTTTTTCCCCTGTAGTACTGATTAAATGTCTTCATACTTCCTCTTGTGTGTTGCAATGGCTGCTTTGGCTGAGTGAGGTGCTAGAGGAGCTGTGCTGCTGCTGCCTTGCAGGGTGAAAGCCATGCTGGTGGTGAATGTCCTCTCCATTGCTGGGAACCTCCTCATGGGGCTGGCAAAATTTGGGCCATCCCACATCCTCATCATCTCTGGGAGAGCGGTCACGGGGCTGTACTGTGGTGAGTACAGGCTGGTCAGAAATCCACTGAAGTCAGCTCCTTGGTACTGTGCTCCAGGGCTGCAGTTCAGAGTTTCCCATATTTTTTTTAATCCTTTTTTAGTTCAGAAGGAGTTTCACAGGTAGGAATTCCCTCTTCTCCCTACGTCTGCCCTTGATCCAGGATCTTTCCCAGAAGTGTCTAGGTTGGCTCTATCATATGTTCATTTTACAGTCCCTCTGTATCTCAAGGATGGGTCTTGCTGGTGGCTGCTGTAAGAGCACATCACCAGCCACACCAACAGGCTCCTAGACAAAGAGCACAGGACTACTGTGCACAGAGAAGATATAGCTGGCAAATAATTGGGAATTAGATTAGAACTAGCTTAGAAATAACAGCTCTTTATACTGTTACTGGTATGCAAATACAATACTCCAGTCTGAGATTTCAAGGCAAGTTTTAAGAAGGCTCTTTGCCTTGCTAACTTCTCCCAGCAGACAATCCCTGCTCTGTGTTCTGATGTGTGTGTTCAAGTAAAAAAGGCTTCCCAGTCTGGGGATCTGAATACAGGGACATCCCAGCACCTTTCCAAGGTGCAGGTGGTTCCCAGGCAGGCGTGAGGGGTTTGGTGGGGTGTGGGATGCAGCACACAGGCTCCATCCTCCTTTCCCGTTTGGGAAGTGGTTTCTGCTGGTTGCTGAGCTGTGTCTAGAGGAGGTGACACCCACGTGTGCTCGGTGCAGGGCTCTCAATAGGAAAACCACAGTGATATATTGGGCTATTTTTCACCATTCCACCCCAAAACTGAAGGAGTGTGCAAAACAATCTGCTCTGATGGGGTTAAATCCCTGCCTTCAGTAAGAGGTGTCTTAACAAAGACAACTTCTCAAGAAATAAAAAATACTTCTGCAGTTTCTCCTCTCTTTGAGGATTTTTTTTCAGCATCTCATCAGCATCAGGCTGGATCCTGAGCACGAGACCCTGATAATCAGGTTCTCAAAAATAGCTTCAACAGGGAAGCAGGGAGCCCAAAGCCCCCATCAGCATTGCCCACCATGGCACACAACAGGTGGGCATATAAATGTATAGAAAGAAAACACAGAGAAAGAGTTGGTATTTGCTTCTAGATTTCCTCCAGCTTGTCACTTCAAAACACCATAGTGGTCAATTGCTTTCTCTTCTTATGGTGCAAAATGATCCATTCAACTGCCTCAATTATTCCAGGTCCTTGGATTAGACTTTCTTCTGGGCAATGATGAGATGTGGCCCTTGCTCCTTGGTCTGTCTGGCGTGGCTGCCCTGCTGCAGTTCTTCCTGCTCTTACTCTGCCCTGAGAGCCCCCGATACCTTTACATCAAACTGGGGAAGTTGGAGGAAGCTAAAAAAAGTAAGAAAGACATTCTGGGCTTGTCTAGAGTTGTTTTTATGCTGTACATAGTATAAAACAGATAAGGAAAAGCCTGGCTGAGGATTTACATGTGACTGTGGTTGCTCCATCCCATGCTTTGAGCTGCTGAGATACAAACTAGCTCTGGATCAAAAACTGTTGAGAAGTTTGCATGGGACTAAGCAGCATTGCTGAGGGATGAGGTTTGAGAGTGATGTCTCAGGGCTGTTGCAGAACTGATGTGCTGCTGCCCCTGACCAAGCAGATGCACCCTGGATCCTTGAGTGTGCCATAGAAATTCTCAGAGCAAGAGGGCACATCTGTCCATGTGTTGGCTTACCTTGAGTTTTGCCTAAAGAGATTCTTGTCCTTACATATACAATTTATCTATACCACTGAAAATAAAATGTCAATAATTTTTTTCCCTAAGATTTGAAAAGGCTTAGAGGAAACTGTGATCCAATGAAAGAGATTGAAGAGATGGAAAAGGAAAAGCAAGAAGCTGCTAGTGAAAAGAAAGTCTCCATAAGACAGCTTTTCACCTCTTCCAAGTACAGGCAAGCTGTCATTGTGGCGCTGATGGTGCAAATATCCCAGCAGTTCTCTGGAATCAACGCGGTGAGTCTCCACAAAATGTTTGTCTCTCAAGAGATCCATGTGAGCATGAAAAGGCAGCTCTGGCTCCATCCAAGCCATGAAGGAATGAAAGAAGGCTTTGCCATGGCTGCAGTGGGCTCCTGGGTCCCTGCCAAGCAGGCTGTGGGAGGGGAGGAGGGGAGAAGGGTGGGAGGGAGTCCAGCCCAAAACCTGCTGGTACAGCAGGCCCATGCTGAGCCCTCCCATGACCCTCCCCCTTTTACCTCCTGCCCTTAACTTTCACCAGAAAGGAATCACCTTATTCTTGGAGAGAAGAAAGAAATGGGAGTCATTGCAATAAGAATATTTTTATATTGATGTAAAATTTGGTCATACTAAGATATTTGTCCTGAGCGCTCAGTGCTGGTGATCTGGATTTTAAGATTAAACACAGACTACGTAGAAGAAAAAGATTTAATGTGCAAATGCGGTAGCTTAAGAGGGGAATTTTAACAGGATTTTTTAACTCCCTCAGGTTTCTATGAAATTTCAGCTTTAATTATTATAACAATCCATTCAAAGTTGAAAAATTAATCATAATTAAATTATGCCACATCTCAGCCAAGCAAATGCAACTCTTTCCTCATGAGAACAAAAAGTTCACCAGCCCTGTTGCCTAATCCTTCATCCTGATGTATTCTGATAGATCTTTTACTACTCCACAAACATTTTCGAGAGAGCTGGGGTTGACCAACCAGTTTATGCAACCATCGGTGTTGGAGTGGTGAACACGGTCTTCACTGTTATCTCTGTAAGTAAATACTCCTGTCCCATGGACTACAAAGCCACATAAGGTACAGTGTGGTTTTGAAACATGATTTTATCCTGGAGCTGTAATCTGCAGTGTTGCAGGACTGACCCTGAACACCTTAGAAGGGAAAATCATTCCCTGGGCAAGTTGAATTTGAAAATTCAAGCCTTGACATAGAGCATGTTGCTATCAATCAGCACTGCTAAAAGCCTTGTGAGTGGAAACTGCACCACTGAGTTCAGGGAAGCTCTGAAAACTCTGCATTTCCCCCCAGAATAAAAGTTGCCCTTGGGCACTGGAATTCTGCAGGTCCTATTCCCTCAGGGAGCCGGCGGGGATAGAGGCTGTGATGGGGATGTCACCAGCTCCCAGTCTGCTCTTACCTGTTATCTTTCAAACTGCTTTCTGTATGTATACAGCACCTGCATGACTGATATCCAAAGGCTATTCCACAGTAATAAAAGTAATCCAGCACCTATCCTCATCCTATCTAAGCAGGGCTCTGCAGCGATAAAAGGATGGTTCTGTTTCCACAGACCTTCCCTTCATTTGTCTCTCTCCTGAGAGGATTAACACAATTCCTATCAGCTGGCCATTAATGTGGCCCTTAATATAAGATCAGGAAATGCCAAGCCTATTTCCCTCATATCTCTAGAGATTTAGGGAGTAAAGGACTTTCACCAACATGATGCAGGACTAGCTACAAGGCAGAAATACACAGCTCCAAAAGATTTAGGATAAGGAGGAATCATTTTAAACTGACAGAGGGGAGGTTTTGATTAGATGTTAGAAATTCTTGTCTGTGAGGGTGGTGAGGCACTGGCACAGGTTTCTTAGAGAGGTTGTGGATGTCCCAGATCTGAACTGTTCAAGACCAGGCTTGATCTTGTGGAAGGTCTATGGTCTAAGATCTGCCTGTGAGAGGGGGGTGATCTTTAAGGTCCCTTCCAGTCCAAACCCTTCGTACTCCAGTATGTGCTAGAGAGGAGGTCTTGGAGTGAACCTGCCTCAGAGAAAGTCCATCATAGGCCCCATAGTGAGGAGAAAATAGGATGTTTATTTTGAAATAAGGCACAGAGGTCTGCAGCTAGAAGAAGCCTTTCTTCAGCCTGTAGGGTGTCCTGCAGTTCAATCCTCACCCCAGGGCTGTGGTACTTGCAGCCTTGGGCATTTGCTCTTTGCTTCTTTTGTCCACGAGCACTTAAAAATTACCTGCTTTTGTCAATAAATGACAGGCCCCGATCAAAAGGCAGAAGTGCTGACAGCTGGGTGGACCTTGGCAAGGGGAGAAGGGAGCAGAGACTCATCCTCTGCAACTTCCCATGTCAGCACATGAACCACCTCCAGCAAGAGATGGTCTCTGGGAAGTGTAAATCATGGCAGGAAAGGTGGAGCTGCTGGCCAGAGGTTCCTTTCAAGCAGAGGGGAAGGAGTGGGCAGCCTCAGAGGCTGCTGCAGGGTTAGGCCAGGCCAGCTGCACTGTCCTCTGGAGGAACCTGCAGTTCCCTGCCAGGTGAGGTCTCTGGTACAGACTTGAGTATGTCAAAAGCTGGGTGACATGACTGGAGTCCACCAAGAGGAGCTGAGAAGGAGCAAACTAAGATTTGTGACTATCAGGGAAGCAAAAGGAGCCTGGGAGTGATTGAAGAGAAAAATCCTGGCTGCAGCTGCTACACAACTATCCCTGCCCTAGGACAGGCAAGGTGCATGTGGTGTGAACTGAATCATGCAACATTTTGAAGGCTGCAAACCAGCAGAGTTTCTGACACTTGGAAACCAGCACATAAATCTCTACTACTAGAGCTAAAAGAGCAGAAGAGCAGTGTGGCAGTGGTAACAGGTTGGTTATTGCTAACTCTGATCCCGAGAATGGTGGTGCTGGACACTGAACTCCTGCATGTGTTTCTGCAGGTCTTTCTGGTGGAGAAGGCGGGCAGGCGGTCCCTGTTCCTGGCAGGTTTGATGGGCATGTTAATCAGCGCCGTGGCCATGACAGTTGGGCTTGTGCTCCTGGTAAGGATTTCTCTCCATTTTTTCTGACTTGTTTGAAAACAAGATCCCATCAAAATCAGTCCAAACCATTGGTGCAAGCCCCTGTCAAGATGAAAAAGTAAGTAAGGGGTGGCATCCTTTGCTGAACACCCTGGTTATTAAAGGGTGCCATTCTGCCTCATTTTGCTGAGCTGCAGGCAAGGAGAGAGCTCAAAGTAATACCTGAGCTGTGAGCTCCTCCAGGCAGCAATGCTGGCACCACATGCTCAGCCAGCACCTGGCACAACAGTTTAAAACCTTAATTATTCATATCCAGTCCTCCTTTGTCTGAACAGAAGAAATTTCTGAAAAAGAAGCCCAAATAAAGTAATTAGTGAAAATTAACACCAACATCTTGCAGAGCCAGTTCTCCTGGATGAGCTATGTCAGCATGGTCGCAATCTTCCTCTTCGTCATCTTCTTCGAAGTGGGGCCTGGGCCTATCCCCTGGTTTATCGTAGCCGAACTGTTCAGCCAAGGCCCACGCCCTGCTGCCATCGCTGTCGCCGGCTTCTGCAACTGGGCCTGCAACTTCATTGTGGGAATGTGTTTCCAGTACATAGCGGTAAGAAACCCCTTAAACCATACAAATAAATGACTGACATGATCCCACTGCTGGGCTCCCAAAGCAGCCCAGCAGGATGTGAATGTGCCTCCCAGATTTCCATCCCCTAGTCTGGCTGGGCACCTCAGCCAGCTGGGGTAGGAATGGGAAGCCATCCCTGTGGTGCTGAGGGTGTCTCCCCTGTTCCCACTTTCCCACTGCAGGATCTGTGTGGACCATACGTGTTTGCAATCTTTGCGGGTCTGCTCCTCACCTTCTTCCTGTTTGCATACTTCAAAGTACCAGAGACGAAAGGAAAGTCCTTTGAGGAGATTGCAGCTGTGTTCCGCCGCAAGAAGCTCTCAGCCAAAGCCATGACTGAGCTGCAAGACCTGCGACGCAGCGAGGAGGCATAGACATCCCACACACCCAGAAAGGAGGGACTGGGCATGCACCTCCTTCAGACACCATGGGAAGAATGTTGGGCAAAAGTCTCATTTCACAAAAACCTTGTAGCTGGCAGACCAGGAGCACCCATCCATCAGATTCCTTCTGGCTGCTGTGGTTCACGCCTCCCAGCCACAGGTGCTAACCTGGTATTTTACTCTGAGACACTTGGGACAGCTGGGCTGCAGGAAGAGCCAGAGAAAGGACAGGAGTATGGTACATGTCCATCTCAATGCCCTGCAGGAAGAGCCCAGTGAGACAGTGATGTTACCAGACAGCATTGAGCAGGGCTGTCTCTTAGCTGAAATGAAGGAAAGAGGGGCTGGCTGATGCTGCAGCCTCATGTTTTCACTTTTTTATCCCCATCTCTCTGCTTCATTCTGCTGAGTGAGCTGGTGCTTTTACAATCCAACTGCTTGTGCAGTTGTGCCACCAACACACAGCACTGATTACTCCAGGTGCTAAGGAAAATAGGTGGAGCAAACACCCCCTTACTCTTGCTTCTGCAGAGGAAGATGGTGGATCCCACCTGAACTGGCTGGAATGTACCTTCCTTGCTTTTCCTATCTGTGCATTATGGAAATGCTGTCTGATCTCATAACGACTTCTCAAGTGCAGTGTTTTTTTGTAGAATCTTAGAAACTGTGGCTGGGCCAATGGGCATTTTCCCTACATTTCAGCCAGACTATTTAGCTCTCCCTTTCCTTCCAGGAATCCTCTCCTCTCCCCCTTCTCACTGCTGCAGCACAAGACAGATCACAACACTGACCACACAAAAGGCCTGGGCACTCCTGGTCTCCATGTGAGGAGACTGGAGCCCTGCTGCCACCCCTTCTATGGTGTGACCATTGCCAGGGCATCTCCTGCCCCATCTGCACCTTCCTTCCTTTCCATTCATACAGTGCTCAAGACCCACAGGCTCCAGGTCTAGCCAAGAGCTCAGGCTGCTCATAGAGCAACAATTAATGATGACCCAAAGAAGAAATGGGTATTGGAAGGGTAACTGGAAGGTGCCACTTACCTAACTCCCATTTTGCATCACTTAGCGTTTTGTGGGCTGGATGTACTACAGCCAAGATAGTGTGCAAGCAGGAGGTCGTGCTGTTTCAATAGTCTGTTTGTGCTCCTTTTGCTTCTTTATGAGACATTTTTATGTGGCAGAACCAAAATCCAAGGATCTTTCTTCCTTTTTTGGGGTCATATGTTGGAACCATTGTAAAAGCCTGCTCTCTGCTTGACTTTTAAGATTTGCATGTTCCTTGTTTTGATACCAGGTTACTATTTAGCAACTTTCTCAGGGTAGAAACCCATTATTTATTTAGAGATTAAACACTGGCATTGCTTGGTCACTGCCATGTCATAGCTGCTGGTGAAGTAGTGACCAAAATGTAACAGAGGATGGAGCATAATGAAAAGCACAAAATAGATGGGCTGAGGAGGATCACACTGCTGCTATGGGTTTGGTTTCAGGGGAGGCTCATGCTCCTTTCCATGTGCCTGAACTTTTTTTCCTTTGTAGACTTTATTCTTGGTATTAAGACCTTACAGCAAATTCTGGTCACTTCCAATTGATGGGAAGTGCAGCCACAAGGTCCACTGGCAGAATTGCTGGCCCTGGTGTGTGCACTGAAGCAGTAAGATTGCAGCAAAGGCTTTTCTGGAGTGACTGCTGGGATTTAGAGAAGAACTGGGTCAGTGCTATCATGTGCTGCAGTGGTGGGTGACCCAGGTCTGACATGGGGCATGCAGGGCTGCTGGAACCAGAGCCCAGGCTGGGGCTGAGAAGAGAGCAGCAGAGCTGGGGCACAGGTCTGTGTTGAGCTGTCCATCTGTGTGGGGCACACGGGTCCCCCTGATGAGACCAATGGCCGCAGCAGGCTCAGCAGCTCTCCACAGTGTTTACTGTAAATTAAATATAATGGATTATCTGAATGTACAAAAAGGAGAAAAAAAAGAGTATTCTTGCTATCAGCATTGTTATCTAGGTCTGTTAGATAAAAGATGAACAACATCTATGGTATGTGATGGATTGTGCTGTTGTTTTTCCCTCTCGTTACGTCTCAGACATACATCCAATGTTAGATGGGTGCTATTTTCCTAGCAGGACACATTTGCTCCCCAGGTGGTAAAAGCTGTGCAAGCCCTCAGCTAAATCCCTTTGAAACAGGTGGTCCAGGTGAGACTTGGGGTTGGAGGCAGCCCTGGAGCCGGTGGCAGCTGGCTCTGGGCCGGGGTGAACCCTGACTGGAGGGGAGCCACTGTCTGGCCCCAGCTGTCCCCACTGCCCACTTCCCCCCACTGTGAAGCACCTCTGCTTGCATGGTTCTGGTGCAGCCCAAAACCTCTCTAGACACCAGAGGCAGGAGGAGCATTTGGGGAAATGTGAGGTTCAAAGCAGATTTGCTGCTGCTCAGAGGGCCCAGCCAGGCTGGGTTCCCTATGATCATATGGCGGTACAAAACTATTTCCTTAACTTCTGCTAAGTTTTGTCCTATTGTCTGGGGGTCATCAGTGACTCTTTGGGAAGCTCAGCAGTGAGGGGCCTTATTGATCAGCATTGAGCAGTTAGTCCTTGTTTTCCTGTGTGACTGGTGAATGACAATAGAAAGCCTGGTCCAGTTACTGTAGTGCAGCACATCAATCAGTTTAGCAAAGCCCACAGCATTAACATTGCCCACAGCTACAGCACTGAACTTCCCAGAAGAGCTGCCTGGGGGTTCAGAGGCACCTAAGGAAAATGGAATGTCAGGCTGTGTTTCCTTGCAGCAGCTGCCATGTGGAAGGTGAGGGAGTTTTCTCCTTCCAGCGTGGGACAGGATGAGCAGAGTTAGGCATTGCTGGCCCTTTGTCCTCCCCACGGCTGCCATGAAGGATCGAGCTGGGCTTCACTATCACACAAGCACTTTAACCATATGCCAGCGCAGGACAGAGTCGTTAGAGTTAGTTAAATCTGACTATATGTTTACTTTTGTCTCGTCCCATCAGGCTGATAATTAGGACTGTACACTTTATCTATCCTTGCTACATGCAAGTTCCAGTTAAAACTTGTTCTTGAGACACAGCTTGTTGAATCATTATTTTTATCTCTCACCATTATAGTTTTACTAAGTTGCTAATCATTAAAAAAATTTCAAAGACCAAGTCAAACTTATTAGCTAAATGGTTGTTGCATTTCAGTAACATGCTAAGTATGTTTTCATACCAACCCTAGCTAATAATGCAATATAATTAATAATCCCTGAGAAAGCATCATGTCAGCAAGAGCTTTGACAGTGTTTTCCTAATGTGCTGAGACAACAGCCATTAAGACTTTTCTGTTGTGCCAACAGTATCTAGTCTCCCACTCTCTAGGCTTAATTTTAAAATTAGTTTGACTTCCCTAATTCAATAAACTCAGGACATTTGGCCCCATTAAGGCTCTCCACACTAATTTATCACAGGTTTTTCTGCCTCACTTCAACTTGTTTTTCATCACTGAGAACCACTACCCTCTATATCTGGAGTCAAACAGCTGATAATGATGAAGCTAACCCAAGTACTCTGTATGTAGGGACAAAGTCTTTCAGGTATGAAGAATTTTCAGAGGTGTTCAGTGTCCTTATTTTTCACCTGAAATCTGTATGAACTGAGGCATTTCAAGGTAGGATATCAGGTCTGGATCCAGCAGAATGTGTAAGCATCATGTTAAATTTAAGGTAACAGAGTGTGCTCAAGTGTTTCACTAAATCCTGAAACAACACTGGAAAATTTTACCCAGAGGCACAGCCTGAGTAGCTGTGGGAAAGGGAAGGAATCTCTTCCCCAGCACTGGGGCAATAAATCCTAGCTGCAGATCATCAGTTCTTAAATTTTACAGGCTGCAGATACAACTGCAGACCCAAGGCTTGAGTAATGTCCTGCGTTTTGCCTCCCTGCACTCTGTTCAGGAGAGAGAGTGGCTCTGTGACTCTGAAAGGCACCAGGTCCCCACAGGTCGTGGGTGGGATGTCACTCGCTGCTCCAGCACTGCTGCAGCCCCAGGAGGAGGCAACAGCTGGAGTTACTTTGTGCTCTCCCTGTTCCCTGTGGGCAAGTTACAATTACAGTGGCTCCTGCTAGCTCACAGTGTCACTGCACTGTCACCGCTTGCCTCTGATCCCCAGTGTGTGCCCAGGGTGATTCCATGGGTATTTGGATGTGGGCTTGGCACAGGAAGCAGATGGTGAACGGCAGGAACAAAGCAGTGCCAGGAGCAGAGTGGGTGCCTATGGCAAGGTCACTACAGAGGATCCCTGACCCCATTCCTGCCACGCAGACACACTGTACCTAGGAGCTCTGAGGGCCTGCTGAGCATGGCACTGTGGCACTGTGGAGGGGGATCACTGATCCACAGCTTCTCCCACATCCTCCTGCTCAAGGCTGTGTCCATAAGCCAGCATGAACCCTCACCCCAACAGTCAGGACACAGTGGGATCCCAGGAAAGTCAGCTCAGCAGCTGAAACAGAGACCTGCTCAGGTTGGAACAGGGCTGTTTACACCACTCCACTCATGACCTGGTATTTCTAATCGTGTGACCTGACCCCACGGCCCAGGGGTGTAAACACCACCTCCTGCCTTCCAGCGGGCTGGCTGGAAACAAGGTGGGATGTTTACCCCAGCACTGGCAGAAATGCATGTTCTCAAGGCTGGGCTCTGATGAGGCACTTTACAGCATCAGATGCTTCTCCAGAACATAACTGAAAGTAGACGCAACTCATGAAGTTTAAATTTTCTAAAAGTTTTCTAGTCCCTCTTCACTTCTTAAAGACACAGATAGGAGAAGGAAAGCTTGATAACATCCTGAGCCTACTTGAGAGAAAAGGTGTGTTATCCAGCTGTGCAACGCTGGAAAGAAAACACCCTTAAATGTGAAAGGCCATGGTATTTTATTAACAAATATGCTTTCAATCAAATTGCTGTTCTTGTGTAGAAAAGTGGGATAGTCACAATAGTATTATCAAGAAACACACTTTAGAAAATTAATGTTGATCCAGACAAAGGAATTATGTCTTCATGCAATAACTGATGGATTGGATTTCAGTGTTTTTTATTGAATCTGAAGTAAAGGCTGTATTGCAATATTTGTTTTGTGTCTGAAAAAGTAAATATCATCTACAGATGTACTTCAGTAAAAAGACTTGATTTAGCCCAGAAGATCTCTTAAATAATTCAAATTGAATCTGCTAATTGTAGAAAATCAGCCAAATTTGTCAACCAATACTTGAGAAAAAAAAAAAAAAATCATCAGTAGTGCTTAGCACCAGGCTGATTCAGTTTAGGTTCAGAACAGTTGGTTGTTTTCTCACAAAGTATTTTATTAGAAGATAAAAAGCCCTCGAGCATGTGAAACTTGTCACACACTTGCAGGTAAACAGACACACACTGCACATGTTAAAACACTTAACAGGATGCCCCAGATTCTGCTTATCAACCGAGACAGCAGTAAAATGCACAGGATAAAGTGTATCATCTCCAGAGCAGCCTGGGTGAGGCAGCACCCAGGGAAAGCCCAAGTAAAGGAGAGAGATGATGCTGGGGCCTCATGAAATAGCCCCATGTAAATTAGAGCCAAACTTAACTCCTTGGCTATACAATTTGGAGTGGGATATGTGTAACTAAGAGTGAGACCACAGGCAAATAAATCACAAAAATTAACACAGATTAAATAAAACATCTCATGATGAATCATTTAAAAATGTGATGTTAAAAGTGACTTGTGTAGATACCCCGTTAGAATACAGATGAAAAAGTTAGGGTCTCAGGGCAAAAAATGTAGGACAGCACACAGCAGCCTGTGGTAGTGATGGCCGATGCAGGTGCTGCTACTGCTGCCACTGAATTCCTGCATCTTCCTGGTTTTGTTCTGTTTGCTGGTGATCTTGCAGGGCAACCTGCAGAGCCAGGGCCCCAGCCAGCAGCTCCACAGGAAAGCTCCTCGTGAATTTGTTCAAAGAGCTCAAAGTATTATGACATCTGACTAGGAGGGATTTAGTAAAAACAGTCCTTTGGCCTCATTTTGCTCAGGATGCCACAGTCAGGCTTCCATGGCCACTGATCTCTCCTGAGGCAGCACAGGGAATGGTTGTTGGACAGGATGAGGGCTGTGCCATAGTTTAGAATACTTTGGATTTGAAAACCTCTCTAAAGATCATCTATTCCAAATCCCTGCCATGGGCACAGACATCTTTCCCTAGATCAGATTGCTCTGAACCCTATCCACTCTGTCCTGGAATACTTCCAAGGGTGGGACATCCACAGTTTTTCTGAACATAGCTTTTCCAAACCTACCCTCTTTTCAGTTTGAAACCATTGGCCCTTGTCCTGTCACTATAGACCCTGGTAAAAAAGTCTCTATCTTACACATAATCCTCCTTTATATTTGAAAATGCTGCAACAAGGTCAGCCTGGAACCTTTCCTTCTTCAGGCTGAACAAACTCAATTCTGATTTTCTTTACAGAGGATCATCTTCATGGTCCTCCCCTGGATCTGCTCCAACAGATCCATCTCTTTCATATGTTGGGGACCCCAGAGCTGGCCACACTACTCAGTACTAATTATTCCAGTATTAATGGAATATCAAACAGAAGCCCTCGGTAAGGATCTCAGTCATCTCCATCCCTTCAGGCTGATTATAATGCTTCCAAAATGCTCGTTTCTGATTACCCTGAGAGGGGGCACACGAGGCAGACAAAGGAGCTTTGTGTGTACAGTCATACACAGCTCACCGGCCTCTGGGGAATTTTGGGACACACATTCCCCCCACGTTCCTCTAACTCCCGCCGCCATAGCCAAGCAGCTCCCGGGCACCCGCGGCCGCCTCAGCCACCCAAGATGGCGGCGGGCCGTGTGGGCTGTGGGGAGGAGGCGGTGCGCGGCGCCGCCTGGCGGCTGAGGAGCGCCGCCTCC